ACAATCTGTAGGTGTTTCCATGCAAGCTGCTGTCTGAACTCCCAGCAGGGTCAATGGAGCCAATGGCTGATGCAGTCCATGGGGTCTGGAAAACTATTCAACCTGAGTGGACACCTACATTTGATAGTTGAGTGTCTCTAGATTCCTCTTATCACCACTGTGAAGTGACCAGCTCACATGGAGACACCTATATGAAGGCACAATGGTTTAGTTTGGAAGGGACCTTAAAGCTCATCCAGTCCCAACCCCCCTGCCCCGGGCAGGGCCCCCTTCCCCCAGCCCAGGGGGCTCCCAGCCCCGTCCAACCTGGCCTTGAACCCTTCCAGGGAGGGGGCAGCCACAGCTGCTCTGGGCACCCTGGGCCAGCGCCTCACCCCCCGCACAGGGAACAATTTCTGCCTTACATCTCATCTAAATCTGCCCTCTCTCAGTTTAAAACAGTTACCCCTCACCCTACCCCCCACCCCCTGATCCAGAGTCCCTCCCCACCTCCCCTGTCTCCCCTTTAAGCCCTGGGAGGCCGCTCGAAGGTCTCCCCAGAGCCTTCTCTTCTCCAGGCTGAACCCCCCCAACTCTCTCAGCCCGGCCCCCCAGGGGAGCTGCTCCAGCCCCCCCAGCATCTCCGTGGCCTCCTCTGGCCCCGCTCGAGCAGCTCCGGGTCCTTCTGCTGTTGGGGGCCCCCGAGCTGGCCCCAGCACTGCAGGGGGGTCTCCCCAGAGCGGAGCAGAGGGGGAGAATCCCCCCCCGGCCCTGCTGCCCCCCCTGCTCTGGCTGCAACCCAGGGCACAGGTGGCTTTCTGGGCTGCGAGCGCACGGTGCTGGGTCATGTTGAGCTTTTTGTCAACCAACACCCCCAAATCCTTCTCCTCAGGGCTGCTCTCCATCCACTCCTTGTCCAGACTGAATTTGTGTTTCGGATTGCCCCGGCCCACGGGCAGGACCTTGCACTTGGCCTTTTGGAACCTCATGAGGTTTGCACAGGCAGACCTCTCCAGCCTGTCCAGGTCCCTCTGGATGCCATCCCTGCCCTCCAGCATGTTGACCACACCACACAGCTCAGTGTCATTGGCAAACTTGCTGAGGATGCACTTGATCCCACTGTCCATGTCACCAACAAAAATGTTAAACAGCGCTGGTACCAGCATCAACCCCTGAGGAATTCCACTCGTCGCAGCTCTCCACTTGGGCATTGAGCTGTTGACCACAGCATTTTGAGTGTGACCATCCTCATGATGACACATTGCAACATGCAGGCTGATTCTTACACTGTAGACTTCTGGAAAAACACATTTTCTCACACTTGAGTTCCTTGCCAAGGTATAGGCATATGTGTATTTCCACCTCCTGGGGAGAGTTAGGGTTAAGGGAGTTCCACTCTCCTTAGATTTTAAAAGTCTATTAATTGTTTCCATTATCTATTTTGGAAACATCGTTGTGACAGATCCTTTTGCCCATATATTTTTAGTTTTTTCCTGCATTTTAAAGGTTAGCTGTGATAGTACATGTGTGATGTGAGCTTTAGCAGGCGTCTTTAGAATAAACCTTCCTGTGACACGTTCCTGAGTTTGTCATACCTTTTGTTAAAATGAGAGGGTAAGGGAAAATAAATCATGTGTTTTTCAAAGTTTAGATCGATAGCAAGAACACATTGCCTTTCAAACATCCATAAAAACTTACTGTTATACTTTATTAGTTGTTCCATACTGAGAAAAATCAAAGTCTACAAAATCAAAATATCAACCACCACATCTCATGTAAAACCAGTGAGTGACCATGGAGAAAGCACAACAGTGACAGTGCCCCTTTGGCCACAGCCTCTTCCCGTGGTGGCATTTTGCTCCCAGGGTGGGTCCTATTGATTTCTACTTGCTCTCTGCTTGTATTGAAGTCTCAAGCCTCAGACACAAACATTTCCCCTGAGGGCCAACAACCCCTACCAAGAGGTAAAGTACAGCTCAGTTGGGAATTACAGGTGCTGATAAAGTACGTATACAGCTGCTGTGCTGGAGGTGACCTGGGTTCAGACTCTTTATATAGATATTAATAGCTAATAAAATTAAACCTCGTAATAGTTGTCCAGTCTGTAACCCACTATTGCTTACAGGTCTCCTACAGCAGTGCATCTCCTTTCATTGCCAACAACAACAAAATGTGGAGAAAGAGACCCTAAGCTGAGCTGGCTAGGGAAAGGAGGGAAAAATGCTGGAGCAGTGGGAAACATATGACTCTGTTCTTGTCCTCTCCATAAAAATGTGTGTGCTAGGAGTAGATGAATTATTAACCTTCTCCAGTGAAAAGCCCTGAGCAGGACAAGCCATGCCAGCCTAACTGCAGCTCTTAACAGAGGTACGTTAGCAATAAGTAGCGTGCATCAAACAAATGAAGCAGAAGAGGTTAGTACCACTGTTTGCAGCCTCCAGAGCAGCTGACAGGTGTGAAAGCCTATAATCTATTGCATAAATATAGATTGTTGTTTGCACCCATACAAAATAACAGCATGTAATAGACCATTACATAGCCATCTTTATAAAGATACATAGTTCAAGTCAGTCCTATTCCAACAGGAATAAAAAAAAAAAAAGCCATGGGAAGTATAAATATCAAGGCTATGGAGTGAGAATAACTCAACAGGAATATAAACTAGTAAAACAATGACAGATACACTCTATCACAAAATAAAAAAATAGCACTAAGCTCTCATGCCTCCTGAATTACAAGGAAGACATTCATCCCATTTTGCTTTTGACATATTCCATGTAAGCATCTATAGCTAATCTAGTCAATTTGAGCATCATTTAGAATCAATGCAGAGAAACAGGTGTCTTTAGACCATGAGTCATTTGGCCTATATATATATATGTATATATATATATGCATATAAATATGTGGCATAAATAAACATGCACATACACATAGGTATGTATATATTTAGGCTCTAGGATGAGATGGACTGCTCTCTAAAGGGACTTGTTCCTTCCCATTGTCTGCCTCAGACATAGATGCTTGCATTTTGTCAGATGAACCCTATCCTTCTAGCCTGAATGTGGCTAAAGAGAGGCAGAAGACTACTCAAACTTCACAAATGCCCAATAATATAAATACACGTCAGGTACTGTGTATGCTTGAGTCTCTTCCCAAATGCCTTTGTACTGGGTACTTTGGTGCTCTGCAGCTGCAAAAGGAGCTGTCAAATTAATCAGCTGACACAATCTGCAGCATCCTTATCTGAGCTGGAGAAATAATGTAGTAACTGTTGTGGAAGGGGCTAGTCCAAAATAATTGGGAAGAAGGAGCTGGTGATGAATGCACATGTATACTGAATCATGAGGGAGTCCAGTGAGATATTCAGCTTATGTGCAGAGGGCAAATGGGTTCAATTTCCTTTTCCAAGAGGAGCATTGTGAGGAGGAGAAAAGTGTGACTGTGTTTGGCCTGTCTGGGTAGGGAAGGGATGGGGGACATCCAGTGTCCAGCCTCTCTCTTTATGGAGAAGGTGGTGTGTGGGCTGTAATGATGGTTACATCATCTTATGTGCTTGGGCGAGTGATCCATATGTACTCCTGGGCGCTTGGGTGAGGCTGCAGTTATATTAGCAGTACATCTGCTATACGATAGGAGAAGGAGTGTTTTGGGGAAGCAGTTTTAGGCAGGGTTCTTTCCCTGTCGGTCAGTGATGGGATACACTCTCTCCACCTGTACTCTGTAAGTAGAAAGTCACTATAAGAAACTCCCTATAAGAATTAAGTCATAATATTTTCTGCTTCCTTCACACACTGGATTTGAGTATCCAGGCTTCCTCCTCATTTGCCACTGCTGGTCTTGGGGTCACTGGTACAATCTGATCTCTTCTGTGGCAAATCACTGATTTCATGAGTTTGGATCTCAATGCCACAATTCCCTGAGAAGTCTTCCTTACAGCAGGAAAATGACTTTAAAACAGCTGAGAAGATGCAGGTCTTCTACGGCTTCTTCTATATCTACTATGCAAACCCACACAGTACTTTTTGCAGCAGACACCATTTAGGATCTCAGTTACTACTTCGTCTGGTATCGGCTACTTCATCACTTGTTTCACTACAGGGTCAGTGAAATGTAGATCATTCTTGACAATTTTTCACCTCTCATATTCTCAGAAATACCACAATGGCCCAGGTAATCTGCATCATGGTTGACCATCTTCACTAAAACATGTTTCAAAGTGTTGTCTACACTTTCTATGACTTTATCCTATTGTGAACTGGCAAAAAAACACTGCTGATGTGGTTTTACCAGGTCATCCCCTCCTCCTTTTCAAGAAAAATCTCCATTCAGCTGAGAAGCAGACCCCATCAGTAATTAGTAAGGAATATGGAGAGAAATGGGGATGAGGATTAGCAAAGAGAGAGGAGAAAAGGAGAATTTCCAAATGTCAAATAGGGACATCTTGGTTTAACCAGGCTGGGGAGCCTGTGAACAGGAACAACCTTGGTGCATCTCAGTGTAGTAATAGAAACAGCAAGGAAGCCAGACTGAAATAAGTCTGAAGTACAAAGTTGTCATGACACGACTGAGAAATCAGGGGGATGAAGGAAGAAGAATTACGTGGTCGTGGTGGCAGATGCTCCACCAGACTTCCCACAGGTTAGCCAGAGAGAAAAAGACTGATTGCGTAATCTATCTGAAACCAACATATTTGCATAATTAACCTTAATTTCCCCACGGGATTCATTTTCTACACATTATTTGAACTGCAATTCTTAGTTCCACAATGGCTGGAACAAAGCATGCTTTTTTGATTTCAAAAGCTGATTCCTCTTCTTGTGCCAGCATTTAATAGCTGAACAAGATAACCCAAAATCCAGGGTCACTTATTTAATACCGAGGAAGGTATTCAGAAATCTAAGCAGTGCAATAGTGAGATGGCTGATCCGGTTGGTATCTCTTCCACTGCTAGGGATTTTTTTTTTAGATTTCACATTTTCCTGGTTCCATCCCACTTATCGTATTCTCTGCTTGGTGAGTCACACAAAGACAGCAGGAATGATAGGCAGAACAAAAAAGATAGCTGTTAAAACAGAAAATCAACATGGTTAGCACCTGGTGTTATCTTAATTATGGCAGTTACTCCAACTGGGAGAAACAGGCAAGACCTAGGATGGGGTCTCATCATGCCCCTATGCCCAGAGGCAAGACTTTTTCCATGTTGCCACATTGCTTTGCTCCCTGGGGCAAAGAGGACCCAGAGGGGACCTGGGCAACTAGAGACTGACCACACCAAACAACGGTGGACTACTGATGCTGCGGTCTCTGGCATTGTTTGCAATACTCCTCCTTCCCTTCCTTTATCTTACTCCATTATTCCTCCTCATTATAATGTGCGCTACAGTTGTCAGCAGACTCCAACTGGAATCAAAAGCCCTTGCACAAAGTCTTGTAATATGCACAGTGAGAGACAATTTCTATTTTAGCAGCTAATGACTAAACGGATGATGGGGAAGGGGGAGAAGAAAATGTCTTCAGACTGAGCTAAATGCATCAGTTTAGCTGTGAGAAAATATTTTATTTGCCCAACTTTTTTTACTCCTTTGAAAATCTGAAAGAAACACATCATTTAAATGTTTACATTTTTTTCCTGTTTTTTTTCCAGTTTAAGTTATTCACTGAATTCACAGAAAGTCTCAGAAAAAAATTGAAAATTGCTTAATTGAAAACTAGACTTTTGATCGATCTATTTTTTTACATCCCTTATGAGTCTTTGAAAACTTCTTTATAAAAACTTAAGTGCTTAAGCGGTCTCTATTTACACTTTCTTTACTGACTTCTCACCCAATACATGGACATAGATGTGTCTTGCAGTATATATATTAGCTCTTACAACAGAGATGGGTGTCTCTGGCAGAACAGCAAATTGAAAGGCAAAGTAACTGCTCTGGGGGATGGAGTGAAGTCCAGGTCCAATTAACAAAACGGCATACCTGTCACTGGCAGTATCACAGATGAGGAAGAGGATGGATGAGTCAAACCTATGAAGAAAGAGATATTCTTGATTTTTGTACCAATTTGCTTGTCTGGCGAAGAGCATCAAAGCAGTGATGAGGACAGTCAGGTGAAGAGCCAGCTCGTTCCAGCACTGAAGCAGTGATGAGGGTAGAGCCTGACAGCTCTTCCTCTGCACAGAAGACTTAATAAATGCCATTTTTGTTTCTTGGCCACCAGTAAATGTTTCCAGCCTGGATATCAACATATGTGTTGATCTGATGTCTGTTAATGATGGGCATGAAGTGAACTGTATCATCCAGGGGATGGGATCCAGCTAAAATGTTTATTTCATATGAGACTGGGAAGGATGACTTTCAAGGTGCCAAGCTAGGATTTGGAAACATGGCTCTAAACAGGACCTCTTTTTTTCCCAGAAATGTAGCCCAAAACTTAACCTGGTGCTATAAATTAATTTAATTTCTCCCTTATCCTGAAGACGAAGCTCTGAACTTGAGTCAGTATGAGATATAAGCAGATTTTTAACAAGAGGTCCTGTAAGAGTGATCTGTTGATAAATCTCTGTGCTGAATGCTGGGGGAAGAACTGAAAAAGGGAAGGATATTCCTTGTCTAGCCCCATTAAAGACATCACATCATACCAGAGAGGAAGGTAACACTTTGTGGGAATAAATAGTTGGTGCATTAATTACAAAGAGCTGACCTTGCTAAGATCTGAGTATACTTTTGCAGGAAACTGGAATTATTGTTGTGTCGAATTAAAGGCCAAGATGGCCTATTTCATCATCCAGTATCATGTTTTTCATAATCTGAATTTCAAATTTTCAAATATTTGTAACCTCTATGTATTCAGTACGTTGTATCATTCTCTAGGACTGGTATGTTGATGAGCTATTTCCACCATAGCAAGAAGTTCCTTCATCCTGATAGTATCAAGTGAAATCATCAGTGGAAAAAAGTTACTGTTGTGAAGGAGGAAGAAAGACCAAACAACAAATTGTGACTGCTGTTCCTGCACTGGGCACCACAGGGAAACATGTGGATCTATGAAGGAGGGGAAAAAGCCATGAGTTAATGCTGAAATAGCATGTCCAGTGAGTAAGGTGATTCATTCTTACAGCCAGAGGATCAAGGAGAGGCAATGATGGCCAAGTGTCACCTGAAAAGTTTTTCTGAAAGCAAAAGGGCCTGCCTAAACCAACCAGCACTTCCACATGGCCTCGTATAGGTGACAAGGTCTGGCATTCATCTCACCTACTGTTATGTGGATGTGGCCACTGAGATTGTCATCTGGGCTCTGCTATAGTCACTGAGGAGAAACAAGCCCTCATGGGGTGCGAGTCACCCATGCTGAAATAGATGTGAAATAGGGCACCTATTGCTCTCACTTGCTTACGAAGGCAGTCCAACTCAGACATGGGCATCTATGCAGTAGATGTCTACAGTTCTGCAAGATTAATTTCTCCTTGAACTCCCAAGTATTAGTGAAAACCAGGTTTTTCCACACTCTGTTGGTATGAAAAGTTAACCTTGCATCGTCTCCCACATCTGGAAAATTCAGCCCACAGCACTCCACTACCTCAGAGGAGGTTGGGAAAATAATGAAAGTCTGAGGACTGTAGAGGTGGTGGACATCTGGGTCCTTCTACCTACAGTAGCTCTGCCTGCCACCCCGAGAGGGCCCAAGACCCTCAGTGATATCACAGATACTTGGGGAAGGGGCTCTCTTTTCTCTCTGCATATTAAGCTCACGTATTGTAGAGTTAGGAGAGATGCCATCAGAACAAGTAGGTAATTTGCATGGGGCACTTTTGGCATTAACCCGTCTAAGGGTATGAAAGCAAGATGCAGAGGTTCTGCAGCCTCACTTGAGAGCCCTGCTGGTTCCCTGAGCAGTGGTGCTTGTCCAGCTGAATCTGGGTCCGTAAGGGCTACAGTGCAATACTTGTGGGCTTTTTGTTGTCTCTCTGTTCAAAATGACATCCTGGGTGTTAAATTAAGAACTGAGCCACATCACTCAGGTTTAGCTATGGACTAGCTAAACTCTGGATCCTAAAACCCTGAGAAATCATGAGGGATGATTAGATATAGTTTTTGGAGCACCTTACTGTGAAGTGGCAATAGATGACCTACAGCTGCTAGGAGGAAGGAAAAAGAGAAAGGCTTATTCTACTATTTTCTTCCTGGTATATGACAGAGTGGCTCTATCTGCTCACAGATTCCTGCAGTTTTGCAGTTAGTACGAAAGGACACCCAAGACAAAGTAGGATGCATCTATGTCCCCCCCAGAGATGTCATCTCTGTCAGTCAGAGATGATACCTCCATCAGTGTCGGAGCCCCGAGGTCCCTCATGTCTCTATCCTGAAACCCAAGCAGGTTGTTCCCTAGGATTGAAGTGCTGAGCTGGGGGGGTCTGGACCCTGCATGAACATGCTGGAGCAACCATCTTACCTGGCTCGATAGTCTGTGACAGCCACTCGTCACTGTCATTGGTGCATCTCATGTCAAGGGGGGTCCAGATGATTTTGCCATTCACCTTCTCGCACCTGAGGGTGCCAGAGGCCGGGGGTTGCTTATCATAACTGCTCTGGCATTTAAAATGTAATACTTGTCCCATGTAATAATACTGTTTGTCCAGGTTTAAAGAGGCATGTGAAATAGTCTTGGGCGGACCACAAAAATCTGTGGGATCACAAGGCAGGACATAATTAAGATTTTTGCCTACCGCTTTTGTTTTTGAGACATGACTTGTATTCTTACAAAATATAGACAACTAGGATATACCAAGCCTTCCTAATTCTTTGTTGGAATATAAAATACTCATTCACTTACACCATATCACTTGTTCAGCTAAGATACTAGAGCAGCTGTTTCTTTGTCTGTCAAAATAATTAAAAATTACTCATCATTCTTACACTGCTTTCACAGAAATCAGTGGGAGAAGTGTTACAGTAATGAACGGGCTCTTACTTACCTTTCTGGGCAAACTCTGAAAAGTTTTCTGGTTTCTGGAGTGCAGGGCTCTGTCTTTTTCTTTCTGGCTTCTGTGTAAAATCTAATTCTGTGAGAGCTGTTGACAAGAAAATTTTCTTATCTGTGGGAGAAGTTATATTTGCTGAATTACAGCAGGATGAATAGCAGAGAAAAGCCAGAGCACCCAAATTTTTAGAAGCAGGATAGAATTGCTGCAAGTTCTAATTTGAAAAGATAAGTGCAAAAGATCATTTTTTAGAGCAGTGCCTAAAGGAGTCTTATACTGACTCATTGGAAAAACACCATTACAAATGTAGAAAAAGGACAATAATCACTTACCAATACATTCAAATTCCTTGTAGAGCCAAGAAGCAACCCCCTCTATACTCCGACACTGAATTCCCAAGTACTGGCCACTTCTTCTTCTATAGCCACTGTCACATTTATAATACAGTTTGGTCCCCAGTAGATACGTTTCAGCAGTAACATCAGCAAATTGGGTCATTGGAAGAGTTGGGCATTCTTCTGCAAACAGAAAGCCTGAGAATCAGAACAGCCTGTACATCTACCTTATTCACTAAGGACTTCCCACATATTTCTGTCTTATCGATACCAGATCATGCCCAGAGCTCAGTGAAGTAAGAGTAATTCTGCTCCCAGCCACAAGGCTAAAATCACAGCTGAAGGATGAAACTGGATATCATGAAGAGAACATCAGGATAGCAAAACTTTGTTTCTTTGATTGTCTCTAAACCAAGGAGAGGCTCTGAGTGTTTGGTGAAATTTAGTTATTTGAAGGGAACACCCTTTATTTTAATTTTAGAACAATCCCATCATCTGAAGCCTTCTTCACATTGGAGTTAGTTGTTGCCATTGATTTTATAATTATAGATTTGTTCAGGATGCATAAAAATCCCTTGGAGCGTCTCCACCAAGTGATGTGAAGCCTGTATTTTTCTGCACTTTTTTAATTAGGAGGGGCTGATTCAACTCCCTTGTGTTTATTCTAGAGGAGAAAGGATGCTGGAGCAAGGATGTTCTACAGCAGCTGGAAGTGGTGGTAGGAGGCACCAGGCCTATCTGCCTGGTCCTGGCCCCCCCTGCCTGAAGCAGGCTGTTGAGCCCTCTCTTTCTGCACCCAGCAGATGGCCAACATGAAACACTACCAACATTTTCTTAATGAATCTGTACAAAATCATACTGTAGACCTGCTGCCTGCATCAGAGTGTGCAGCCCTGAATCTACAGAGTGAGGCATAATAAGCAAAACTAAGCCATTAGAAGTGGCAATCATCTATAAGCAAACATTGGAAAGGGGAGTAGACTCTCAGTTCTGACTGAGCACACCAAAGAGCAGCTTACTGTGAAATAAGTTTGCAAACCTAAATATAACTTGTCCCAAAACAAGGACATGAAGTGCTGTGTCATCAGCAAATCACATCTAAATATACTTCTCAATCAGTTGGAGTGAATTAATTTAGATCATTTCAGTGCACTTGAAAAAGCCCACTGAAGCTGAGCTGAAGACCCAGAAGTTGATAAAGGCACTACTTAATGATTATTTAAGGCCTAAAGGCTGAGAAATTCTAAGATAAAACAGGCTGGTTGCATCAGGGCTGCCATTTGGGATCTTTGGGTGCATGATCTGTGGCCCTTTATGCTTATGCATAATAGTAACAGCTATTAGGAGCAAAATTTCTTAGTCATCATGTCTTTACAATTTTTGCAGCCATAATTAATGCAGCCTTAGCAACCAGCAAGAATAACTGCAAAAGGGCCTTGAATCCCTGATAGTTGTTCATCATTTGGCATCTGCCCTTGACTCCCAAAGTGCCTTCTCCTTGAAACAAAGACGTGCCTGGCCAACAGCAATCCAATCAGTGACTCCCAGACCCAATCCTGCCATGCCCTTTTCTTTCAGAGCCACCCATAATTTTCTCGCTTTGATATTTTCTGTCCTTTTTACTTTTCATTATCTTGCTGCTTCGTAAAAGTCACAAAGTTTGAGGACGGCAACAATGAAAAGTATTGTGAATGGCTTAACAGCTAAACTGTGTAAGGGATATTTTAATTCCCTTGTAACTTTGTGCTATCAAAGGATTCGCGTTGTAAACTACATCAGACTGTGGCTTCGAGAGAAGCGACTGTGCATGAAATAGTTAACCACATGGTTTACCACAGACCGTCAGGGTGATTAAAATTAAAGAGTTATCAGATTAGTAGCAAGTTGAGATCACATACTCTCACTTTCCCTGAAAGCTAAAAGCATGTTTCCCTCAAGACTTCAAAAGCCTCTTTGAAGAAGACTGCAGATCTGAATCTCAGCACAAGGCACCCAACCCTACAACTCTTTAGTCTCTTCTTAAGAAAACCCACAGCATTTAGCCTACTCATCATAAAGGGCAATTGTTGTTTTAATTGATGCTCAAATGAAGTTAAGGTTCTTCTGAACTTGCATGCGTCAGATAAGGATTGTGCAGAAATGTTGCACACAGGTGATGGTGGGCAATACCCATCAGGCTGGTGCTCTTGGATTGACACATCCATGTTGCAGCTGGATCTCATGCAACACTCCTAGGATCCAACCTTTTTATTTCATCCACATCACTCAGATGCTTGTCTTCTCACACCTAAACCACTACTGTATCTACTACTTTGGCCTTTACAACTACATTCCTGCCTCTGATCCAGAACGCGCTTGGAAAGATGAATTTCTTAGGTCTCATTGGGGCCTTCTGTTTGCTTCCCTCTGTTGCCTTCTAACTGCTCCACTGTCACATCAAATATTTTACTCCCATTTTCAAGAACTTTCTCCTTATCAACCATCATATCCTTTCAAAACTCTGTCTTCTTTTCCCATCCACATCCTTACCAACATGTTTGATATCAAAGTCATCACCTTTGGGGTTTATTGTTGTACCAGTCCTCATACTAGGAGGGGCCTTGCATGAGTATGAGACATTCTAAGTTGCCATTATTCCTCTTCACTGTTGTTAAGTATCATATATCTTCAGAGGTGCTTTACTTTAAGCAGTCTTTTACCTATCTTTCAAGAACAGGTAGGCACCCAACATGCTGATCAGTATTACTTCTGTACTTGCTTGCCAGATATTCAGATTCTAAACTTTCTGTTGGTCAGCTATTTGTACCATGCTTATACAAACAAGCCCTAGCTATCAGCCAGGGCTCCAAACATTGTGGCAGTAGATGTGACAATAATTCATGATAATGACTACCCACTCAGTGAAGTCTATCTGAAAATAGAAGCTGTAGTTTGGCCCAGAAGAGATCCCAGCGTAAATTTACTCCTCAACTAGGTTTCTGACTTTTTACACTTTTAGGGGAGATTAAGTTTACTTTTTTTTTTTTGCTGTTTTGCACCTGGCTGTGGATTAGTCTGTCAATTCATTTGAGTTGGTGTAATATGACAATATAAAACTTATAAAAGGCCAGCACACCTAAGTGTAACTTGCCTCATAGCCTCTGGTGGCCCAGTTTTGCACAGCCCAGCTTTCCTCTGGATTCTGCATCCCTCCACAGCTGCTCCAGGGCTACATTCCTGCCAGTATTGGCTTAAAAGGCCACCGTCACATTGCCTTCAAATTTCGTGGGGTTTTGTTTGTCTCCTCATTTTCCCTCCCCACATCCTCCAATTCTCCATCCCATGACAAGATGCTGTGTGTTGCTATTTCCTTCTCTTTCAATCCCGATGTTCTCTGTCCTCCCTTTCCTTCATTCACAAGCTTCATCAGCCCCCACCTACCATTCTCATCTCCTACACCCCAAAAGTGACACGTGACTCCATTTCTTTGCACTTAGAGGTACTAACATGATTTATTGAAATGGGCCAAGCAGAGAGGTTGATGTAATTGTGTTCATGAGCTTTAGCACTGCTATCGGTTGCAGAATTTTTAGAACACATAGCTCTCCTAAGGCAGTTGGGAATCTGAATTTCTCTCCATATTAGTGGATTTTTGGTGCCTACAGCATTTCTGGAAGTTTCGGAACTGGTTTCAAATGTTATTATATAGTGGGTGGAGACATGCCCTTGGAATTAGAAGGAGACTAGTGAATTCAGATGATAAACATTCTGTGAAACATAACAATTAAGAAGTAGTTATTGCATCTTCTGGTGTGCTCCCAAAATTAAGTTTGATAAATTTTCTGAGACTTGCAAATCACTCATTATCATCTGAGCCACAAGGTAGGTGGGATTCCTACTGTTCCTGATTAAGCAACAGTGCCTGATGCCATTTGACGTGTCTTAGGGCATCTGGGACCTCCACATAAGCTGTCAGATATCACACAGGAGTTTTTGGAGGTTGGTGCCAGGCAGAATACTCTGCCATGCCCTGTCTTTTGCAGGTTCATTGCCATGTGCTAAATAAAGCTTAACTGTCTTTGGCTGCCCTCAGCATCTAGCATCATTATGTAGGCTCAGGGGAAAGAAAGCCACCAGCTAAATCACCATCAGTTCTTTCAGTGCCTGGATTTCTTCCCTGAGGTTTCCCATTCAAATACGTTACTGACCCAACACGAAACTGCTCATAGTAGACATACTGGCAGTATTAGGATTTATGAAGCTCTCCTGCCTATTTCTCTTCCATGTCCAAGTTGACAGAGCAGTGTTAGAACAATACCTTTTGTCCAGAAGTGAATGGGGAAAATTTCTAACAGGTAATTTTAGTATTAGGTAAACACAGACCATGAGTCATGTCATGATAACCTAAAGTCAGAATTTCCTCTGTCATGTGGCTGTGTGTCACCAGCACTGACATTATTCTGATGTCAAGTTAAAAAGGCGAGTGCAAAAATAGGACAGTTTTCCCCTAAATACAAAGGTAGTGAGGCGGGATCAGTAGGAAACTGGCTGTTCTGAAGATCTGGGTAGAAGCAGTGGAAGGAACCAGGCACTTCACACACCTGCCCAGTTCAGTGATGAGACCAGAGATTTCAAGAAATCAAACCATGCCAAAATGAGGACATTTCCCCAGATGTGCCTGAAAAGCTCATTCTGCCCTGGCATTCATATGCTGTCTGAAACTACGTTCTCTCTAAATAGAGCATGTCTCTTGAAGATGAAACTGATATGGGTGAAGAGAAGGAATTGATACCAGCTACTGGACTGAAATGGTAAAGAACTTTTTCTAACTTCAGAATTTATTCCCAAGGGTCTGTTAACAAGCTAGCTACAGCTCTGCCTGCTTCTTTTGCCTCTGATTAATGTCATTTTTTGTATATGTGGATTTGTTAGATGGCAGTAGATCCCAGGTGTGGGTCTGGGGTGCAGACCTGAAGTTTATGGTAATTTGCCTGTGAGATTTTGATTAGCTATACGGTAGATTATATAGAGATCATTTTACAATGTAATCTGAGTAATAATGAGTCTGCAAGGTAAAGTGACAGAAATACAATGCAGATGGAATCGCCAGGTGCAAAATTTAATGCAAACAGGGATGGAGGAGAGATCAGCCCTATGGGGCAGGAGATGGGTTTTGATATTCCTAGCGGTGGAGGAGAGGAATGTCTTATTCTAAGGACTAGGCAGTTCAACACCTGATGAGTTTTCTGTACTAGAGGATGTCTCTGTTGGAAAGACAGTGTAAAATAAACTGGAACATGAACCAGCAGGATCTGTCTGTTAACTCTTTGTATTACCATAAAAAATTAGGTTTGGGAGAGATACACATCTTTTATCTCTTGGCTGAATCATGTTAACCAGCTGTTTGTCACTGAGCTAGGCTGTGGAATCTAATGTAAAAAGAATTTCCATTTACAGCAAGGCTAGATTTGGTTTGACAGTGGACTAAGCCTTCTCCTGCTGAGCATAATTTAGCCTCAGGAACCTGCCATCTTAGCTCCTTCTGCAAGAAGTGGAGCTGGGCAGAACTCTCTAGATGCCAGAAGATCCCTAACTTCAGTTCTCCAAAGCAATGCTTAAAAGTGCTTGTCTCTTTTTATGGCCTACAGCGCTGGAAGAACGCTCTTGCATGCTCACATGGATAATTAGCGTGGTTTAGCTAATGCAATAATATCATTTTAAAGCTCACTTTGCTGTGAGTTCCCAGCAAAGCAGCCTGCAGATGTTGTTGTGTCTTCTGCCGACCCAGATGTTTCTCGACTGAATATCTGTCTCCCCTCCTCCTAAACGCAGCTATCCCCCCTCACCAACTCACTCCTGTTTTAAGGCATGGACTGAGTGCCACCCAGCCAACAAAAAGCAGACGGTTCAATTCCCTGGGTGTAGAAAGACACGCAGAGGATATGACTCACTGCACCCTTATCTGCAATCTGGTAGCTGAACTGGGCCCTGAAAGCACTTCTTTCTCTCCTCTGGTTATGAAGGGGGTCCACATGTCCAGCCCAATGGAGGAGCTGGTGCAGATAGCTGAAGATGAATCTCACGCCTGCCCTGGCAGAGAGGCTGGGCTGGGGACTTGGACTACAAATGTAGAATTGGAAGAGGGAGCATTAGGAAAGAGAGAGAGTGATTCCTAAGGCAGGGAGAGGGAGGAAAACTATCCTGAGCACAGTGCACTGCGTAGAAAATGTATGAAGTGGAGAACGGGGAACATTTGTTTTCCTTATTCTTTTGTTTAAGGTTGTTTATAACCCTCTGTGGTAAAGCCACAGAGCTCAAACTCTTTAAAGGTAACCACTGCATATGGTATGGTAGCAGAACACAGAGTCTGGTTTTAAGAATATCATATGTGAAAGCCTTGTTTTGGTGTGTGACATTTGGGTTTTGAATAGGTTTGGCTACATTTTTGCTTAAATCTGTGACTTCAGTAACACCCGCCTCTTCGGTATTTTCATCTAAAGGGAAAAACACATTCCTGAGAAAGAAAATTGGCTTTTTAAACAGCAGCAGAAATTCAGATCCTTTTCTTTGGCTGGAACTTTCTGAGCCTTGCCTTTTGTTGGGTTGGAAGGGCAGTAGAGAATATCCTCTCTGCAAATAATTGAACGGGCTGACAAGCATGTGTCCCAGTCTTGGGTAACAGTGAAAAAAAGGTCTGGTGGGACTCTTCTGATTTCAAATGTGGCTTTAGGACTCCCCTCATTTGACTTGTGGCCTTAGCAGAGTTATTGAGCTTTTCACTGGAGTTATCAAGAGTAGGATGGAAATTGTCTGTTGATGATTTTTTTGATCTTGTAATGCATGAAACACTTTTGCAAATAAAGAGGGCTGTATATTCTTTGTCTGAGGGCTCACACTTTACAAACAGAGAACATAAAGAAATAGCAGCAGATGACAGAGTGCTGCTACCCTGGCAGGGTTGAGGAACAGGGAGTCAGGTGAAGAAAGTCATGGAAGGACTTTGAAAATGGGAATTTTTGAGAAGCATTGGAGGAGATGGAGCAAAGATTCAGTAAGCCAGGTTGTTCCAAGATTCAGGACCAGGGTCAGAAGGTGAAAACATGGGTAGAAAACATCCAAAAGCTGAGTTTTGAAGATACAATTAGTACAACAGGAATACCGAGAGACAAAGATAAACATTGAGGAAGAAAGCAGAGACCATAAGTGCAACACTCTGAAGGCAATAGTGAGCAAAGTCAAAGGTAGTAGCTTTCTAGCAGTAGCTAAATTGTTGATTTTTGCTGTGATAAAAGGGAAGGACATAACAATCCCACCTCTGATGAAGTGGGGAGAAGATTTCTCCATCTGAAGGCAGAAGCATATACTGCAAGATCACAGTTTTTTAACAATTGTTTTTAACAATATTTTTTTGTAGCTGTATATTGGGCACTTTGCTGCTGAGGGCCACTGTAGCTGGAAGGTTTATAAAGGTATTTGCTCTCTGGTTGACCTTACAAGAAACACTTGTATGTGTTTGACAACTTTAATTTATTCTGCTTTGCATTTCAAATCCATGGGAGCGAGCACTAATATGCAAGTATAATGGGAAAGAAATTCCTCTCATTTAAATGACTGAGATCTGGTACCCATCTTGTGTGAATGAAATGCAGTTGAATGAAATTCTTTCTTTTGTGAGTTTTAATCCTTTCCAGGTTTAACTTGAAAATCTATTCAGTGTATTCCTGTAAGACGAATAGCAAGATGGAAAGGTCGTAGGAGCACAGACCAGCTTTTATCTTGTAGTTGACCCTCACCTAGCATACATTATGCCTGCAGCTTCTAGGCACTGCTGCTGTGCAGAGTAAATGAAATAAATGCTGTGCTCTGCACTAGAAAATCAGCATCTATTTTATCCTCTTTAGCAATAAGCTGCAATTTAATTTTTACTAAATTAATGATCATCCCATGCCTTAGTTTCCCCCAATATATATCAGAAGACTTTTCCCTCTAAAAGCACTTTGAGATGTATCAGCAAAACTATTCTGTAAAACAAAGGCTTTTTATTTTCTTTGTCCCCTAATTATATTTATTTGTTCCTGATAGTGAATTTTGTCAGAAACCCTCTTGAAAACACCATCTATGGCAGGATCTATTTACAAAACTGAACTTTATGTACTGAGGCATAGTTGATTTTTGACCGGTTGGACCTAGCCTCTTTCCCTTTTCTTTGCTTATGTCTGTTCCCAGGTCTCATTTTTGATCCCCCTAATGAGCTAAAAACAATAGGTCTTACAGCCACAATACTTCAGGCATCTCTATAATAAAAAATCCTAAATTGGTAAAAGGTGGTGTTTCTACCTTAGTGTATTATTTGCAGGGAGAAATTAAATATATCTATATATAAACATTATGTTTAAACATTGGGAGAGACACTGAAAATAAATAAAGGAAGCTGAGGAAAGAAGAGCTTAGTGATACAGTGAAGAATGCAATGCTATGCATTTCCTCATTCATCAGAGAATTAAATCACATCAAATAGCATAAAATGCAACTTCTCTAACACTCCTCATTTTTTTTTTTTTTCAAAAAACAGAAAGATTTCTGATAAATGAGGCTTGCTAGCAAGAAATCTCACAACGTGTCCCAGGCACAGTAATATAGAAAGCGTTGATACAGGGGACCTGACTCATCCAAGAACCGATCCTATTTACATATCTCTGGCTGAACGTCTCGCAGTGATGCTCTTGCACGCAGCACATAAACGTTTGCCGTGGGCACTGGCACTTCATTTGGCAATGACAATGCCCCGTGAAGGAAAAAGGTACAGCTTTTACTGGCAAAATACTTTAACAAGAATGAAATCACCTGGAGGTTAAATATTCGTAAAGCTACTTCCTGCATTAATGACTTTGATTACAAGCAACACAGTCTTCCCTTGAGATGCCCTGCCCCTAGTAAAATTCACAGCCCTGGTAGAGATGATCCAGAAGCAGTTACAGTACCAGTGTGCCTGAGAACCTGCCTTAGGCTATATCTGCTCATTCCTCTCAACCTGGACATCATCATCAGATACAGAAGGAAATATCACATTTATGGAGCACTGAGAATGTAAGATATTTTTTTTTTCCTTCTGAACAAGGCAGTTTAAATTCAAATATATTAATATATCACCAGACCATTTCTCAATGCACACACTTGTCGCAATAAATAAGCCAAATATAAGCAGTATCACAATTTATAAATGTGTAAAATTATGCTGAATGAATTAGCTGCCTCCGTTCACAGTTTACAGCCATTACTGGTTTGGAGGTGTGGCTGAAAAAATACTTGGTATCTATAGTACCCATAGCAAACTTGGATGGCACCTTTTAACTAATCGCACTGCCATCAGTTTTACCTACAGAGGTACTGACATTTCAGTGTCTATTTTTATAGTTCCTAAAATTACATGCAAAATGGAAAAAACAAATTCAAAGAGCTACCTAAGGTGCATAAGGCTGCTTTGATCTGCCCACTTTTCCAACGATGGGTTGGAGGATACATACATTACTCAGACAAAAAATATCCTGTAGTGCTCTAGATTGTCTACAGTTGGTTTGTGGGCACAAACCCCATTTCTCTCATTTCCTTAGAATCACAAATTCCTTAAGCTCTTAACATCTTTCCTTACCTGAAAGTAGTCAGGATGTTGTGAACATCCTCCAGAAGCCACCACAAAAAAGCAAATCGTATTTTCCCTCCCCAGAAGGCAGAAATAGTCTTTTACCTGGCTTGTTCCCCTTGACAAATCCAAACAAGAGCCACATCAAAAGGCACTTGAGCTCCATGGGACTTGTTCACATCTTTTCTCCGCAACACTGAGGATGATGATGTTTCTCAGAAGCGACGGGCTGGTGCCGACCAAGCCAAGAGCCGTCTACTGCCTGGTTAGGCTGATGGGGATATCACCCCGTGTGTGCAGCAAGGACTTTTCTCTTTGGTCAGCAAACCATCGTTTCGCTGGCTGGCTCCGCAACAGAGAATAAAGACTGCTCTCTGTTCAGGTATTAGTAGTTTTTATCCAGGAAATAAAACTTAATGCTCAGTGTGGTGGAGCATGCCATCGTGTGTAGGAAGTGGTTTGACACATCAGAGTTACTGACTCCGGAGCTGTTCCACTACAGCTGAGGTCAGTAGAAGGGGACAAGATTTTAACGGGTTTGTGTAGCCGCTCAACCCCAAATCTGTGGCTGAACATGCCTTTGAGAGGGACCATCACTGTAAAATAGTTGTCTGGTGTATGACAATGGACCTCAAACACCATCTTCTTTGTGGGTTCTACCTACAAAGAAAAGGTCCCGTGGGGTATGGTTTTGGCTTTCTGGAGGTCTTATGCTAATGATGATAAAGTCACACTCCATCCATTTTTTACTGTATGCATGTTTGCAGTTTCTCTGAGTGACAGCTGAGCTTCTGAGGATGAACAGTTTGATCAAAAAAAAAATGACAAGGATGAGGCTGGCAGGTTTGGAAAGGGTTTCTCTTGTTCCTAAATTGTCTGGGTTTGCCATGTTTCAGTGAAATTTGTTCTTTCAGATGTCAGTGGAAAACTGGAAATGATCAAGGAAGTATCCCACTTTATGTAGATTTTCTTCAGCCATTTCCACAGAGATTATTATCTGTTAGTACCTAGAGAATTAGTTGGGATAGACTATGGAAAAATAGATTTAAACTATCTGTGGTATTCTATCATGATTAGTGCATGTTAGATATTTACTTCTCCTTTATAAATCCTTAATGAATTAAATCTTAATAACAAGCATGCTATGAAATAGATGTGATACATTTTTAAATTCTGCTACAGCTGTATTCATCAGTTGTAGCCACAGATGCAGAAGATGTTGTGTTAGTATCTTCATTCCTCACTATTAGAGACTTTTCTTTACACCCATAATGGCATTGGTTCTGTGAAAGGCAGATGACACAAGGGAGCTTCTTTTGAGTGACCCAAAACAGATCTTTTTTGAGAGGGTGAATGAAGATGCCATATCTATGGGAGGTTGCACAAATGTACATGTTCTCCCCCTGCATATGGAAAGGTGCAAAGAAGACTTTAGGCAGTGCTCATGAGAGTGGAAGACTGAAGAGATGCTACAGCCCCTGCTGTCTCCCTCCTCATAGACCTCCCTTTGCCATTTTCATGAAAGCTTTTGTGCAGCTTCACTGATGTAGGTCCTCTTGGAGGGTCTGTTGGCAATGAGACTTTGGCCAGGAGATTATGACCCAAACCCAAATGCAACAGCACACAGAGAACAAGCAAGACTTCTTGACCAACTGTTGTGGATATAGAGTATTTTGCTCACCCAGGGGCTGACCCATGATCCACAGATATTTACTGCCTTTGCTTTAGCACCAAATCACCTGCTATTTTTAATAGGATAATAGGAAACACTCATGCCAAAGCCCAGTGAAGACCTTGGAGAGATTTGCTCTTGAAACATCTGTCTGAAAGTCATAGACCCAAATTCTTCACCTTTTTCCAAGATACCTGGAGATATGCAACTGCATATGCAGAACCACAACCATCTGGGCTGGTAAGATATATTTATTACATTGCACTGCAAGAAATCCCAGACTGTTTATCACAATTTGTCCTTCCCCTACTAAACATGGGGCGTGTTCTTTGGAGGTGCAGGGATTTATTCCCCAACATCTCCTTTTATTTCTTTCCTGGTCAAACTATTTAATTTCATAGCTATTTGCATGATAGAGACAGAGAACCTTTTCTGCAGCCCTTCAGCTCAGTCTGCCTCTCTCAGCTATTCAGAATCCTGCCAGTCAATTAATGATTGCAAACTCTGAGCAGAGGGCAGCAGTTAGGACTGCAGATTCAGATTGTCAACAAGCTGAATTTTAACTTTTGCTGAAAAAAGGTCCTTTTCCAGCAGGTAAGCTGAGATGTGCTCCTTCTTTTAAGCAGCCATTTGCTGTCAAGCAGCAAATATCAGTGTAGGTGGATAACAGACACCAAGATTTTATTAGAAATGGTGAGTTTTTAGCCTAGCAGCAACATGCAATGTATAGTCAGTTTTTGTACTGGAAGGAACGGTGACCCCAGGTGGCTAATTGCTACAAGCACAGTTTGCATGAGAAAGACCTGTAACTCGACATTATGACCTTTTAGAGGTCAGAAGAAAACGGTTACTGCTTGTGAGAGCAGTTAGTTAGGTCAGCTTTGTGAAACAGGTCAGCTTGCTGAACGATTCCAGGAAAAAACAGTGCTGCTTCTGCAAGCAGCGGTCTCAAAGCAGCGCAAGGCAGAGAAGGAAAGGGTGAGAATGGAGGGACCCAGCAAAAGGGAAAGTTATCTAGGTACAGAAAATGCAAGGGTTTATGAGAGAAAAAAAAAAAATAAAAATAATTGGCATTATAAATTAGATGATTAACATTAGATGTTAGCAACAGACGTGTGTGGCAATAAAGGAAGGGAGGAACTATGAAAATTCAGTGAAAACCTGGAAAGTGATAGAGGGAAATAGGAGCATCTATGAAGGTATAGGGGGAAAAGAAGGTGCTGGTGTCTTTGCTTGTTGACTTTATTCAATTGATGACCAGAGATTTGCTGGTCAGAAAAGTCCTCTCTTTCAGCAGAGAGCTGGGAGGAAAAGAGCATGTCACATGGCGCAAGTCACCACAGACAAGATTATGAAGATTAGTTTTTTAACAATGCCACAAAACTAAGAAAGATGCAGAAATGGAGTTGCCAGGGAGTAAAACACAGACACAGCTCCAGCATTCTTTAGACCTAGATTTAACAAGGGCCTTCTGAAATCCTGCAAGTGCTTTTAAAACTCTTAATGCACAAATTTGTTTGGTCTGGAGGTCTGAGTAGCGAAGTCTGTAAGAAGATTTTACGGTGTGCCTATATGGTGCAGTTTTATCTGATGAAAAAAAAAGGAGAATCATTCAGAATCTGGGGAGAAAACAGAAATTCATAGAGGTCTGTATCAAGATCTCCCAAGACTTAGGAGACCTGACCCATCTACATTACCATCTCACGTAAAACCAAGTGGTATTAAATTTTCAGTTGGGCATTGCTTGTATTATAAATCCAATGACACTGCAAGCAAAACCAAGCCAGCTTAAAGAAAGGACAACACCATGATCTTATTGCAACTCTTCCCAGTTCAAAGCAGTGATAAATATCCACGACTCACAAAAATAAGCAAGCTTTGTGTTTTCTTTCTTTAATTCAACTTTTCTGCTGTGAATGACTACTACACGAGCCCTCTATTCAAGGGAATAACACTTCGTATGGACCTTGCTGGGAGGGTGTGAGGGTGGCTCTAATAGCTAACTAAACTCTGTTAATCGGTATATGGCTTATATGTCCTTGAAATTATGGTAATGGTGGTTGTAAACTCACATTATTTGTTTTTTTTACTTGGGAGAAAATGTATTGGGAATTTTACCTTAAGCATGGGATACAGTGCTACTCTGTACTGAAGAGTGGAAGCACAAATAGCTAGGTTTTGCACTTAAATAGGCTACTCTTGGCTTTCTTTACAGATTACTTAGAGGACTATGCTTAGTATTTTCAAGAAAATTAATTAAAGATGCTGTGCACAAGGGCCCCTCCCATCCTCCACAGCAGCTTCTAGCTCTGCTGCAAAGCAGAGGTATGGGGAACCCTGGTTATACCACATGCCAGAAATGTTCATCAGAAATTTTGCACCCAGCCCAATTATTTATAATGGCCAAACTGGTTTTAACTGCTTTTTATTTCCCATAAAAGTGAGACAGGGTGGACATGAACTGGCACAAATTTTGAATCTTAAATGGAGTATATTTGCAAGGTCAACAAGAATTTAGGTTCAAGTCAAGAGAGTGGTATATGGTCAACACAGTTGTCAAAGTTCCCCTTTGAGTCAATGGGGAGAGTCAACAAGTGCATCTAGAGAGTGATTCACCTCCTCTTCTGGACATCAACATATATGGGATGAATCACCCATGTGAACTTTTCTCTCCCCTTCCCATCTGCAGACAACCGTTAAACCAGCATAACTAGTTTAAACCAAACATGGGCCTTTTAGGCAGCTACAGTTGGATGAGACAAATCCACTTGGAAAATACGTACTGAATTTCAGAAGAGAATTTAAATTGCTTATTTAATCACATAGAACAGTCTCCCATGTCAAACATTTTGGACATAGTTTGTTATACTATTTGTATATTAACTATTCCTTTCACTGTTGCCAAGTTCTGGGGTAAATACATGAGGACCACAAAACTGAAAGGGAGCCTTGAGGTTCCAGTATTCAGTGTTGGGATAAATCCACCCTTTTATCTGTTTTAAACTGATCTCCTACTAAATGTCTTCTAGTTCTGTTATTGTGGTATTTGATGGCTAATGGTCTGCATTCACCATATTCCTCACCTCCACAGTACAGTTAACCTCTCCACATCCTCCCCCTCTCCATGTTGAACAGTCGTACACCTCTGCTGTCTCTCCTTGTAAGCCAGCTGCTCCATCCCCATGATTATTTTTGTTGTCCTTCTCTGAACTTTCTCCAGATCCATTAAGTCATTTTTGAGAGGCAGAGACCACAACGGCACCAGATACTCCACATATTGGCCCACTAAGTTTTTATATGGCAGCAAAATGATCTTCTCCGTCCCGTTCCCGGTGATGACACCCAACATTGAGTTTGCTTTTTGGTTGTTGGTACTGTTCTCCAAAATCATCATGTTAACATACAGCAACAGCCAAAACATTCCCTGTGGGAATCAAACACCAACCACATTATTATTATTATTATTACAATAAAACAGTGTCTAATGAGCAGATCTGGAGGAGACATAA